GTATTTGCACCATCTGGCATTTCTCCTGTTGCTGAAGTCGATCAGTCTGCGCAGGCAGTATGCGACGCAAATCTTGATGGGAAGTATGTATTCAAAAGAAGGCGTGGATGTATGTACCGTAGTCCACTTTCGGCCAACAACAGCACGGAAGAGAACTTGGAGGCTAAGGTAATTTATTCTCAAAACAATATTATGATGTTTATATCTGGTAGTTTCTTTAACATTGATTAGAATTCTCACAATCATAACCTTCACGTTGCATTCGATCATAATTTCTTACTTTTAGATACCGAAATCGCAACATCTGTACGAAACATATCTACCCCGTCAAGACGGTACGATTCGTCGATTTGGATTGGCTAGGCGAAGACTGGGAAGAGGTGGACGGGTTGTGTTTGACCGATTTCAACGCGCTGACGCCCCTCGTGTACCTGATCCACGCGATCCATTCCTCGATGATTTTCTACAAGATGGCTCAGTGTAAGTAAAGATGGTGCTTTTTTCTATTTACGAGTCACCTATATTTACTATTTTTAGGTCTTTCCGAGCACGGCTTCGCCCTTTGGTTGAAATTGATTCACATAGAAGTAGATTCCTTCATTGGGATAGAGCTATGGAAGAGGATTGTGAAAAGCGGTGGTTAACAAGTGGCAATTGTCCAAGTAGCAGTGGTTGTCCTCCTTCACAGGATAATCATGACTCAGATAGTCAGCCCGCATCTGCAATGTCTATATCTTCCAATCCACCTTCCGCCACTCAGTCGGGAAACGGATTGGCGGGCAGAGTGGACCCATCTACCCCCACGTCGACTAAGGTAGGGAAATTTTTTTTCTTAGCAGGTTAGATATCGACTAAGAAGTAATTTTAGGAGTATGAAGCTGTACCAGTGTCGGATGAGTGGCGGGAAGCTAGCGGGTCACCATCGGAGTCAAATTCGTCTTCGGAATGGGTACCCCCATCCATGGGCACACAAATCTATCCGGTCCTATCAAGTGAGGAGGAAGCTCGAACTGGGGACCACCCGATTGCAAAACAGCCGCCCATTAATGTTAAAGGGTGTGTGGTTACGATTCTTATCGTAATTG